GCCCGCGACTTCGGCCGCCACTCCTCCTTGATCGTTTTGTTTGGTAGTGAGGCCGAAGGGAGTGGTGGAGAAAGATTGAGAGGGGGATCCTGCAAAATGAGAGGCATAGAAGGATACACAACAGGCTCGTGCATCTGGTGAGAAATAGCATGCACAGGCGAGGCAGAATGCATATTATTAGTGATAGAAAAAGTTATCTGCTCCCTGCCTTCTCTCAAGACCAAAGTCCCGTTACGGACATTTATGAGGGCCCTGGCGGTGGCCAGGAAGGGCCTTCCTAGAATAAGGGGCACTTCTGTGTCTTCATTGATGTCTAAGACAACAAAATCCACAGGATAACAAAACCTGCCAACCTTAACCAGGAGGTCTTCCACTATACCCCTAGGATGAACCACAGAATGTGTCAGCTAATTGAATACTCATCCTAGTTGCGCTGGGTTCACCTAGGCCTAGTTTTTTGAACAATTTGTATGGGATAACATTGATACTATCCCCTAGATTCGCCAGGGACCTCTCTACATGTAATTTGCCAATGGAGCACGAGATAGTAAAATTACCTAGGTCCTTCTGCTTTTCTGGCAGCTTGCTCTGCAGAATGGCTGAGCACTCCTCGCTCAGCATCACTGTCGAGAGATCCCCAAGTCGCTTTTTGTTGGTAAGGAGATCCTTCATGAATTTGGCGTACTTGGGCATCTTCGACAGTGCCTCCACGAACGGCAGGCTGATGTTGACCTACTTTTGCATTGCCATGAATTTGGCAAACTCAGTCTCCAGCTTGTCCTTGTGTAGTCGAGTGGGGAAGGGAAGCTGGGCGACATGCTCCCTAACCACTTGGTGTGGTTTGGGAGCAGGTGCTTTCTTGTCCATCCCCACGTCTGCATCGTCGGCTGGAAGTACTGAAGCAGGTAGTGGCTCCTCCTGCCCGGCCGGGGCAGGTACCACAGATGTTGTCTTGCCACTCCTGGTAGTGATGGCATTCAGCTGCTGGTTAGGCTCGCAAGGATTGGGAATGGTGGTGGCAGGCAGAGTTCCCGGCGCCCTGGTATTGTTCTGGCGCGCTATTCCTCCAATCTGATTCTGGAGGTCCTGCAATATGGCACCTTGGTTCCTCTGGACTGCCTCGAGCGAGGTGATGCTCTGGTCCATCCTGGCGAAATTTGCTTGACTGGTAGTCATGAATGTCTGCAGAATGTTTTTCAGCTCCATTATCTGAGTATCGAGAGTTGGAGCTGCTGAGGGCAGGGCATACTGGCGCTGCGGCTGCTGAAATGGTTGCCCCTGTCTGGGCTGGTAAGGCTGTTGCGAAAATGGATCTTGTCGGGCCTGGAAGGGTTGCCTCTACTGAAAACCACCTGCTGGTGCTGGGAAACCAGGTGGTTTAGTGGTGTTACTATTATTCCAGGAGAAGTTGGGGTGCTGGCGCCACCCTTCGTTATATGTTCCACTGTAAGGATCAAGGCGCCGAGCATTGGCGATGAAGTCCAACTGCTCATGGGGTGTAGAAGACTCCCGCATAGCCTAGCAGTCTTCCACCAGATGGTTCGAACTCTCACACCACTGACATTGTGCAACTGAAAGCCCGGCCAGACCTCTGCCCGGAATAAGACTGTTGGGCTGCTTCAATGTTTGGACCAACTCGGCCACCTCTCGCTCTATTCCGGACCTAGCGTCCATGGTGTGCACACCTCGGTCTCGGGAACTCCTGCTTCTGGTGCTCTTCCCCCAAGAGTGATTCTTGGCAGTCAGAGTATTGATCATCTAATTCAGCTCGGGTGGAGTCTTGGTGAGAATATCCCCTCCTGGGCATAGAGACTCGATCGCCCTCTGGCTCTCTAAGGTCAGAGCGCTGTAGAAATTCCCCACTGTGAATGCATCACTGAACCCGTGATGGGGACACTGATAGAAGAATCCCGAGTACCGCTCCCAGGCATCACGTAGTGACTCATCTGGCTCCTGGCGGAAATGAGTGATCTCCCGCTGAATCTCCGTGGTCTTCGAGGCCGGATAGTACCTGTGCACAAACTTGTCGGCCAAGTCATCCCACGACGTGATAGACAGTGGGGGCTGGGTCTCTAACCACATTTTCGCATGCCCCACCAGAGAATGGGGGAAAAGGTGGAGACAGATCGCATCATCGGGTACACCATTCATTTTGAATCCATTTGTCATCTGTAGGAACCGGGAAAGGTGCACCCTCGCCTCCTCATCCTTCATGCCACGGAACTGGATTGAGGATGTAATTAGTTGAATCCAGCATGGCTTGATCGCAAAGTTGTTTGCTGGAATGGGCGGATACAGGATGACGGGGAGGATGTCATCGACCCGTGGAGTGTAGTAGTACTCCATAGTAGGACTCGGCGGGGGTGGTGGATGCTGAGCCCCATCTGCCGGGGGACTGGGTTGTTCCCCAAGATCTGATTCACAGGGGGAAACTGCATGGGCATCCCGAGGGGTTGATTCAACCCCAGGTTAAGGTTCCCCCTGTTGTGCTCATCGCCCATCTCGTATTCCTCTTCGGAGTCGCTACTCAGATGGCCGTCGACGTGCACTTCCTCCGTAGCTTGTCTTGCTCGCTGCTGTCTCCATAGTTGGCGGCAGGTGCGTTCTAGCTCCGGATCTAACGGTAGTAAACCTCCCGACTGGCTACGGGTCATACACTACCTGCACACAGCCAAGCAAGCAAACCCGTGAAAGCACAAGTGGGAAAAAGCAAACAATCAATGCGGAAAGGAAATGCTAAAGTAACAGAAATAACGTTTCTTCAACAACCTAGCCGTCCCCGGAAACGGCGCCGAAAAATTGACACGCATCTACCGTCACACTAGAAAGTAGCCAAGTGTAACCACCTACTAATGCATAGAATAGTGGGTTCAGTTCTAAATGTCAACCCGGGTCCTAGGTGTGATGACTACTCCGTGAAAATCTTATTATTTAGCGGTTCAAGTGTAGTGAATGCTTAACTAAACTAGCAACCAAAAGCAGTGAAAGTTGTGTTCAAAGTTGAGAGAGGTCACCCAGATATGGTTCCCCCAAGACTGCAGTTAAGCCAGGTTGTAATTCACCGAGTTCAAGTTCAATGATAGTTATACCGCTGGAGGTTCTTAAACAGTCTGTAGTCTCGACTAAAAGTCTCCAGACCCTCTCAATCTGACTCCCCAGCGGGCGACTAACCACCACCGGAGTAAACAGATTGAGGCCCTAACGAACCAAACCTCCTCTACCGGAGTAAATCCGGTACTGAACAGTGAATTGACTCCTCGACTAAAGTCGTCAATTCACTACCTTCAATCAAGGGTGCTCTATCAACCTAGTCAGATATTCTCCTTCTAGGCCAAAGCAGAAATAACAGGAATTTGATCAGGATTCATGCCATTGAAGAAATCAAACCTCAATTGAATATAATCAACATCAATGAATTCGTACTTGGGTTCATACAATCAGACCTAACATACAAATCTAGGGTTCTTCATAACCAGGTGAGTGAGAGAGTTTACTCCATATAGAGAGAAGGGAAATCTAGCTCAGATACGAAATCCATGCTGTGAAGGATGGGATTCTGCTTCTGGCAATCAATCGACACTTCTCCAAGCTTAAGCCAATCTCCAATGGTGATGAAGATTGACCTAGGGCGCTTGGAGAATCTGGTTCGTCACTCTCTCTCTAGGTATCAGCTTTCTATCTCTAAAACTCGGACCCTTAAAAAATTGGTCTTCTTTCCCTTAAGAAATAGGAGGACGAGATCCCCAACCATAATACCTGCTCGGGTATTTCAGGTGCCCGACCGGGGATTTCAAAACGTTGCGCAGCGGCTAGGGGGTTAATACCCGATCGAGGTCCATAATACCCGATAAGGTATTTTAGCTCCCCGGTTGGGACCCCTTCTTCCTTTTTGGCGTCCAAAACAGGAATCCCCGGCCTCTCTTTGCATTTTACCCGGCCGGGTATTTTAACTCCTGGCCGGGTATTTTGCTCTTCAAGCGCCCTTCACTCTAGTGTCCTCCTTTTTGACCTGAAACTCGTTTCCTCGCCTTCACGTCAACGCCAAGTCCTGAAATATGACATAAACACACAACCTAGCGTGAAATCGGCTTAAAATACGAGAATCAACTCTCAAACGGCTCAAGAATGGAGGTATAAACATGTGCAATTAATGGTCTATCAGGTTTACACGATGATCTGAACAATCTAAAGTCTAGCTACTCATACGTACAAAATGAATCATAAAAAAAGGAATAAGGATCACCATGGAAAAATCCTATGAACTTCACTTCTTGATCTTCCTTCGTGCTTACAAGAAGCTTCTTTGCTCTTAATTTCGTGGTTAAACCTGAGGGGGTCGTCCAAAATGTGAAAAGTGATTGTTGCTTCCCAAAAATTAACTTTTATATCCTGCCCCCAACAATGATGTTGAATTTGTTTACCCAAAGTGTAAAACAATGCCAAGGATGTCGTTTTTGCGTTTTCTTCTTTCAAGCTTGCATTGGAGGGGTTTGAGGATTTCTCCAAGTCTAGATTACTAGATCGTGAAAATGATTTCTTGCTCAAAATGGCGCCAACGAAGCCGTTTATGACCTTGGGCTGCCGTTTTTTGTTACTTTTCTTCAATCATGATTTATGTTGTGTTTTGTCATTCCGAATACTCCACGACGTCTCCGACTAGAGCAAGATGGCCCTCTAATATGTTGTAGCCTGAAAACATAAGAAATGCTACCAAAAAAGCATATCAAAATGGTAAAGCAATCCTGGGGCTATTATCCTCACCTCTATTAATTATCAAACAAATGCAAGTGATTAGGCGCTAGGAGTGTGAAAATCACGCAATTCTAGGCATAATATGGGATCTTGAAATGGTACTTTTCACGTGTCATCAATCATGCACACGATCGCATTAACAATAAACCAAATGAGAGAATTGATAATACCTAAATTGGCGTTATTTTCCTTCTATTTATTAGGTGTTTTCATGTCATTAAGAGTGAATATTTTAATCCAATGTCATTTGTATCCTAGTATGGGTCATCGAGTCAATTAGAAACTCAGGCGCTTGGTAAGCTATGCAAAATCTGAATAAAGGAATCCGCTGCCTTTTACCGATCTTCTAACTGTATGAGAAGGTTTTGTTTCATATCGCTTGGAAACCTTAAACTTCAACCTATAATCTAGAAGAAATCTTTGACTTCGAATTCAATTATTTAAAGTTGATGGTCATTCTTGCTTAGAATTGATGACACATGAGAAAAAGGGATCATGTGCAGGAAAAAGGGCAAAAAGAGGCCAACTTCCTTTATCGCAACCAAGGAAAGAAGATCACGGGTGAGAACATCTCAGGCTGCAAAGAGATCATGGGCTATGCAGCAGTTTATGACCGTAATCTCAAACAAGCAAAGCACGAGAGAAGCAAAAGGTGTCACAGTCCACTTCGCATCCCTTCATATCCAAGCCCGCAATAGTGATCATGAAGCTAATTGTTCTTTCCCCTCTTTCTATTGTTCTCTACTCATCTTTCATTGGGTAATCCCTTCTATACTTGGAGTACGAACCCCTTACTCTGAGATGAATTGCTAGATTTTTTTATGAATGGAATTATTTCTCTTCCCCTATTTATAATTACTTGTTGTCTTATGATGTCATTATCTTCATTTGGTAGAGGTAATAAGTGCATGTTCATAACTTAGGTTATGGTGATCATCCCCCTAGGTTAAGCCTATAACCCACATCAAGTGAGACATCATTTAAACTATGTGACACTTTGGGTGGAAGCCATGTTATTCCTTAGGTTTACCCTCGTAGGAATCCAAGCTTACCACCGTAGCGGTTTGTCGATTGCATGACCATTGAGCCGAGAAGTCTACTAGGAGTGCTTCAGGAGACATGACCATTGCCAAGACGTGATAATAGAAGATTCCGACATAAGAGAGTTTCATTTATACCTATACCTGACCTAATCTTAGAGTCAGGGGGAACTAACCCCAATTATCTCTCTCTCAAACAAGTCAAGTGAAACTTAGTAGTCTTAGTAAATTAGGAATACCTTCCACTCAACTATTAGGTTAAATAGTACTTTAGCCGATAGTAGCAATAGATCTAAGGTTTAATACACTTGTATATCCAAAACTTTCACGGTTGTGCCAATAATATCCAAATTTCCCAAAATACCACTTATATCCAATTCCTTCACATTCTTTAATGATGTTTTTGGATATACAAGTGTATTTAACCAAAAATATATTGGGAAATAGATAGATTTGGCAAAGAACAACTTTAAAACATGGATATAAGTGGTATTTTGGGAAATTTGGATATTATTGGCACAACCGTGAAAGTTTTGGATATACAAGTGTATTTAACCTAGATCTAATGACCTGTGGAATACAACCTCGAGGGTCACCAGTTTACTACTGCGCCAACTAAGGTATACTTGTCCTCAGTTGGGGTAATTATAGTTGACAATTATATATGCCAAAATCCGAGGTTACATAGTCATGAACCTCTAGGATTCATCAACCTATGCAACTAAGGGAACTAGTCGGCCACGAGGTCGAGATAGTGGGGGTACATATTGAAACGAGAGACTCGAAAATCTCTTTAAATCAATTGTCATATTAGAAAAATGGAGATTAGGGCGCGATTTAGGGCATTGATTTGCACTTAAGAAGCCGGGTGAGTCACTATGTCAGCAGAGTAACGGCCCTCTAATGAGTAATGCCTCATATCTCTGGCTACCGATCTTCTTCCCTCTAGGGGGTCTATTTATAGACTTTCTATTAGGCTTCCTAGGAAGGAGTCAGCCTTCAACGTGTTTTTGGGTCTCAATAGGTCTCCTCTAGCTTAGTCGTCACGCAAGGAATATTTTGTACGAATCTGGGCATATTTTGGTTACGAAGGCGTCGTTTTAGGAATTGGGTAGCTACTTTTGCCATCGTTTCTCAATTGCTCCAATCTCGATTTTGGCTCCTAGTAGTCGAGTTTTGATGTCCTCCAGCAACTAATCACAAACCCATGAATAGTAAAACTGAATCTAAATGACCAATGAGTCTAACGCTATACAGATCGGTATCTTTGACAATAATATTTCTTAATGAATGGAGATGATCTAAAAGAATACTTGTGGCCCTTAATTAAGCACCACAAATTTAGTGAATTGTGTGCTTTTCTTGTAACTCTCTAATCCAATCACTCCATCCCTTCAAGTATACAACTAATAACTCTTGCCCATCTGGTGGATAGCTAGAGCAGCAGCAAAAGTACTGGGTTAAAGAAGTCGAAGAAAAGGAGGAGAAGAAGAAAGGAGAGCTAGCGATAATGATGATGATGGTGATGTATAATTGAAAAGGGTCCCAATCGACAAGATTTTGGAAGGATACCACTTCTCCTCCTGTGTTTGGTTTGACACACTCTCACACCTTCTGTTGCAATGTACGACCCCATTGTCGTTTTGGGGTTCACTTCAGTTAGGCTTTTTCCGAAGGGAAATAAAGAGAGCTCTAAACTAGGAAAGTATAGACAAAATGCCTTGAAATTAGCCTCTGTTTCTTCCTCTCTTTTATTATTATTATTATCTCTTTTCTTCTTCTTCCTATTGGGTGGGGTGTTCTGTTCTTCCTTTCCCTTTTGTTTTCCATATGATGTCTTATGAGTTTTGTGTGGCGGGAGGATTTAGTTGTGGATCCAACAGGATCTCTCAGCATCTCTCCCCCAAAGTACGTAATGTCCTTAATGAGTAATTGATGAGGTAATGAGATGCATCACCAATCCACTCCCTATTCATCTAAGGGCTGTTTTGATGGAAGGCTTATGTTATGGTCCCTCTTTGGTTGGTTCTTTTAGTTGGTTCCTTTTGCACCCTTTTTTTCGTCTTTGCACAGCAGCTCTGCTGAGGTTGGCCAAAAAGTCCTTTCGTAGTTTCCCCCATGCGCATGTTTGCTGTTGGTACAGGAATTTCTTCAAATGCACTCGACAAATGAAGCTCATGATTCCTTTCCTTCCTCTTTCAGTTCCTCTTCTTTTATTGGGCATTCAAGGGAGTGGCCTGGCTCTGTTTGTTACATCATAAGCTCCTCATTGCATCTCTTTGTGCACCACAATTACAATGGTGGTTCGGAATTTGGCTCTTATGTTGACGAACCCCTGTAACCACCCTGCATCGTCCTCCACGTGATGATGGCTACTGTTTAGATTGACATGATAACAATTTAGTTGTGGCCACACCCAAAGATGCAATTCCTTGTTTCTACTTTTATGGTGGTTTTTGAACATGAACCAATGAGCTAGCTCACCTGACCCGAGTGTAAATCGATTAATTTAACATGCTATTCCCGTTCCCAACATGGCAATGCCAACTAGTTGATCTCAAGCCTCGCAGTATTGGTTATAAACTTATAAATGCTGCTAGTGACATTGTGCTTTAAGGACAGGCACCCACTATCATGTTTAGAAACTTCACAGGAGTTCATTCCACACCACAAATATACCGTGCACCACCAAGGCCGATAGGAAATCAGGTTGCCAGGATACTTGAGCTAGCTAGCATTACCATTTGCTTCCTCCAGATCACAGAGCCATACTACCGTATATCGTTCCTCCTATTAATACATCAAGTTCATTGGGTTAAACAGCTGAGTTATACCTAACTATATGGAATTAGCTAGGCGTTAGTAACACAAGAAACTGGGTAAGGCTTCTGTTATGAGTTTAGATTCAGTGATAAACTAAACGACATCTACAGGACCTACTTTCTTCCAACATAAGCAGCCAGTTTTGACAAATCTGGAACCCAAAACGAAAGCTCGGAAGACCCAGTTGCAAACATAAGGGTTCCAGGAGCCCATTTTAATTTTATAACATGCGGTTCTGTTTCATAAGTCATCCAACTAGCTACCTGCAAACCACAAGGAAAGGAAGGGTTTACGTCATCGTGAAGACACAGTACTCCAACCATGTGCTCTTTTAACCATCTGAGATGCAATAATGGATGCAAGAAACAACACAGTCTGCATTTCCAGTACTTGAGGCAACAACAATTTTATGCATGGACACGCCTTTTGACTGCTGAACAATTCCACAATCATTTCTACCAACAGTTACCTCCATTGGTACAGTGCAAATTGCATTGAAGATGGTAAAGTGAACAAGGACGTTGAATGTCTTACCTCCTTCCCGGACCTTACACTCCAAGCATGGACACTTCCATCACCTGAGCCTATTCAACACAGCAACGGGAGGGAAGAGATAACTAGAAGGTTCCCATCCAAAGTGGAAGAAAATATGAGATGATCCGGGAGAAGCACCTTACCTGGTATAACATACATTCCGTCGGGGCTGAAAGATGCTTCCAATGTGGAATTTCTTGAAACTGGCTTTACATTGTACGTGGACAGCTAATGAAAAAGTGACAATAAATGCACTTCAGTGTCATTGCTCACAAGGGATCCACAGTTCATGCTATTGAGAGCCAAACTTACCAATGTTCCACGGAATGAATCAAGGACGTGTATAAGCCCATCCATGGTTGTTACAAGCATGAGTCTGCCGTCATTGCTGAACTTTACTGCATTTGCATCCAAAGCATCTCCACCAACAGAATAGATTCCAAAAGGACCCTAAATAGGGAATTTAAACCTCAGCAATTAGGGAGCCATTAACAATTGTCAGAGTTATTACCAAGGGAGTCATGGAACAGAAAAAGTGCAGAACTAACCTTTTCATATTTACGAGAATCAAACATTCTGATGAATCCTCAAAGGCAATGGCAACAACAAGTCCCTGATCATCATGTGCTGCAGCAGGCCGTCCTTGGACCCGCAAAAGACCCTGCTGAAGAGAAGGAATCCAGCTTAGGGCGTGTTTGCAAATAGATGCTAGTTTTCCCAATTGCATGTTATTTATTTTTTCATGTTATTATGTAAGGTCCAAGCAAATTGTTAGGTTCAGTGCGTTTGCAGAAAAATTTGTTTTCAAAGAGTGGAGAAAGACATGACCCAATATTTTAGAGTGCATTTTTAATTATATCCTACCCCTGTGTTTGAGATAAGCATCATTTTGATGTAGTAAACATTACTACATGTTTTCACCCAAAAATGAATTGCTACACCTGCAATTTCAAATACACTATATCAGGAAGTGTCAATGCAACCAAACGTCTTGTTAGAGGTTCATATCACAAGTTGAAGCATGATTACGACCAGTTCCGCGACTATAAACTAAGATACCAGTCAAACCTGACACTTTTCAGCTCGTTGATCCCAAAGCAAAACAGTTCTATCCAGGGAACCAGATATAAAACACTCTTTCCGAGAGCAGAAACTTAGTGAAACAACCCTGCAAGAAAAGTAACAAGTATAAAGAACCATCCAGTGCCCATTGAAAAAATCAGTTAGAAACACAGAGTTCAAAGAAATAACACACCAAACCTGTCATGGTGACCCTTAAAGTATCGCAAATACTTGCTATCGTTCAACGAGAGGAGCCAAAGAGATTCTGGAACAAAGAGTTTACAAGTGAATGAGAGAGAGCAAAAAGAACCAGAAACAGAACAGTGACAAAGCAAACACGTTAACTGGACAAACATACCATCCCATCCATTTTTGGAGGAGTATATAACAGTTGTAGGATGAGAAGTGAAGGAAACCAGATCAACACCATACTTCTTGCTATTAATCGTCTTCAAACATCTGAAAACCACGAATTTTTCATCTTTAAGTTCAGAAAATACAGGGAAATGAAGCACGACCGCTCTAAATAAAAATCAATGGAGGGGGAGGAGAGCCCACGTTGCACTAGCAACATCATAAAGGCGAATGGATTCGTCGTCGCTAGCAGTCACCAAGTAGCTCGAGGGCTTGTGGAAATCCATGGAACTGATTCTTCCGCACTGACACAGAAAGAGAAAATGAATCAGAAAGAAAAAGAACCCTAAACTTGAAAAATTCCATATCCAAAGGGCTAAAGGACGCCACAGAATATAACTGAGTCAGAAAAATTACATAATCTCTGAAGGCCATGCCCGTTTCCATACTCTGGAGGATCTCTTCCGTCAACTCCAATGATACTTTTAACTTTCTCATCTCCTCTCTCCGCTTGCGCACCTTCGATCATAATTTCGAGTTCGAGACAAAGGGAAGCCGGGGAATTTTCAGGCACCCAGCAGCAAACAATTCCAGCTAGAACTTCGAAAGAAGGGAAGGAAAATCGCACATACCTATCATGCTCATGCTTAGAAAGACGTCGCATCGACGGAGTAAGGAGCGAAATAAACGCCCTCAACCGCCGTGGAAAACGGGAGCAGACGGCGGAGCCGGCGAATGAAAAGCAGAAGATTTACAGAAAGAGCCGACCGGGGCTCAAGTAATTGGGCTTTCTTCTTCTCCTAGCTGCAAATACATTTCGGTGGGTCTAGATTTTTGAACCGGGAGATCCAAAGTTCAACTTGGGCCGAATTCTCTTGGTTAGGACAATTATTTCGTGGGCTTGGAATAATGGGTGTGGCTTTTGCGATGCGTTTACAAGCGTGAGTGAGGCTTTTTCAATGGGTGGATACCGTGTTTTTTGGGCCTAATAGATTTCTCGAGGTGTAATACATCGATTTCTCGATGTTATTTTGGTTGGATACTAGGACTGCGTTGACCGCTCGTACCGACACAACCAAGTGCAAGTATAATTTTTTCATTATTTTTAGGCGCGACCAAGATTGGAAGTGACACAAGATGTGTTTACGAATTTTTGAAGGCGGTGTCCCCACAGAATTTGACTCCCGCCTTTCGGACTTGGAAGAACGAGGCGCACTTGTTTGCCACCCAGGGGATGAACCTTCTTAGCATTGTTATCTTCCCGGTCAACACGTGTACTTCAGTAGTGGTTCTGGGTGCGCGGAGTTTCTGTACGACATCAATTTGCTTCTTGTTCACCTTAACTCCCTTTTTCGTTATAAGAATATCAGTGAGGTAAATCATTAATAAGACAAATACACATAACATTTAAAATGATAATTCTCACAATTAATGTTCCAAAATTACTATTTTAATTGTTATTTAATGCGTAAGTCAAAATAATTCATGATGAAGGTATAGAACTCATGGGGTTTTCCTCTTGTTTTCATGTTGTGTCTAGGTAGTTTAACTCAAAGTAATATTCCGACATCATCTACTAAGTATGATTTAAAACTAAAAATAATTGAACTAAGTAATGCTAGTGGCTTGGTATAAATATATTCATTAATAAATAAATTAGTTAATAATAATGTTAATTTTTATATACTTCCAATATTAGGACAATTATTTTATCAATAAGTTAAATGGGACGAAGGAAAATGGATTAATTGAGCTTTAATTTGGTTATTTTTATTATTTTAAATGTTTTTCTAATAGAAAAACATGTGAGAAGATTCCTGTCATTGTCCTTTGCCCTGAAACAATTATCTTCTTTTAAATTGGCTCAAACCACCTATTTTGTTCTCATACGATCAAAATCCCGATTTTGGTACGATTTTACGATTTTAAAGATTTTAATCCCGATTTTAAACGATTTTAAGGTCCACCTATTTTATAGTAAAACCAGGATCGGAATCCCTAAGTAAAATCCTATGATTTTACGATCAAAATCCCGATTTTGACTGCATTGCTCTTTGTTGCTCAAATGTTTGCATCATGAATTTCTGAATCTATTTCAAGTTGAATCATTTTGCAATGGGCAAAAGAGAGTCTATACATCTCATTGATGCAACAAGAGGTGGGGCAATAAGGAACAAAGAAGGTGACCAAAGAAGGCGATCTCGAGGGTCTTATTAGGTGGTAGCAGAGCTCCAGTTCAAATCATAGCAAAGAAGAAGATCTAGCAATGGCGTAAGGGGTAGAGCAAGATAATTTGTTCTACCCTTGTTGTTTGGTTCAAGAGAATGTGTATTTTGTGCTTGTAGATGGCGTGATCAAATCAAATTTAATCAGTAACTCGCTCCGAATATCACACTTAAATCCCACCTAAGGCCCAAGTATAAACCTTAAATGCGTGCAGTATAGGGCAAGTATGTTTAAATATCAACTCGAGCCGGTCCATGTACCCCTACTTCAATTGTTTGAAACATTATCTAGCAGAATGAAGTTTAAAAGAATCTCTATGATCTACAATTAAAAGTGCAAGGCTTGAAAAGATAAAGGGTTGAAACTCTTGGTGAGAAGCTTCACTCGGGAGTTGTTTCCCCCTAACTAACTACCATGAACTATGGGATCTAATGAATTGGTGCGCAACAAGGCGATTATGAACCGTAGGAGGAGCAACAGTGGTTGGTAACCACACTCTCAATCGCTAGGCCAATGAATGCATTATAGGCTACGAAAGTAGCCCTCTTGGCCCAAGCAAAAGAGGGTTGACTTACCTTCTCCCTCAAACCGGGGTTTGGATGGCTTAATCACAATTAAACCTAGATGTATAACTTAAGTTTACAGGTTTGTCTTACATTAACCTAGTTAGGAAGCATGGAATGCCTAAGAAAACCCAGCTCAATTTGAGCCTCTTAAGGAAAGGGGGCTTCTCTCTAAGCTAAGTTAGGGTAGCACAATAGATTGCCAAGCACACAAAATGCACAATCATCATGAACAATACCTCAAAAATTTAAATTAAACATCACCCACACATAATCAGTCAATCCACACAATCAACTACATGGTAGAAGTTAGGGTTCTACAACACCGGTGTGAATAGGAGACTACTCCATGCTAGAAGAAGGAAGAACACAAAGGAAAAAGGAAAAAACCATCATTGTGATGCCTCAATCCTTCCTTGTGCTTGTAGAGATCCTCTCTTGAAGAGGAACTTCCCAATTCTTGACTTGGAGCAAACCCTAGCCTCTTCTTCCTCTTAGTTCGTGACTTTCTCTCTCTAGGGTTTCAAGAAGAAGAAGGTTTCTCTCACTTTGGGCTCCCTTTTCTTTTTCCTTTCAGCTCTCCTTTTATACACTGATAGAACTCAGTTCGCGGTCCCAGTTCACGGCCATGAACATCTGGCCTGGACCATGAACACAACCAAAATGCACCACTTTCATTTGTTGAGTTCGCAGTCCATGGCTTCAGTTCATGGTCTTACGACCGTGAACTGACTCGGCGTCAATAACTTCTGAAACCTCTCTGGACACCCTTCAGTTCGCGGTTTGTGGCTTCAGTTCACGGTCCTAGCAACCGTGAACAACAATTGTTTACTCCTCTTTGCCTGGTCCTCGCGCCATTTCTTCCAACTTTCGATTCTGGGGTTGGTACACCTGTTAGACTCTAAAACACTTTGAAACACAGAGAACCTAGCGTAAAACCACCCTTTATGGAGTTCAAATGCAACAAATGCCAAAGAGAAACGGGGATAAAAAAGTGTACATTTAGGCCCGAATCACTCCCCTACACTTATACGTTTGCTTGTCCCCAAGCAAACCATTTCACACAAGGTAATATCTCAAGCTAACAAAATAACTTGGGGATAAATCAAAGGGCTCAAAGTGGCCATTCTCAATGGCTATTGGCAATTAACACATGGACTATTGTAAGTGATACCGACATCCACCACAAACGACATTCATGACCACAAAAAACGGGCAAACGAAAAGTTATCACCTTATTCATGAATCAATGCAAGTCTCAACAAGATCACTCATCAACCACAACTAACCATGCATAACATTCAAGTCCAAGGAATTATTGAATGGGCAACAAAGGTCCTCAAGGGGGTATGATATGACATGCAAACCCTGAATGAATCACTCACTCTCTTGACCAGTGGGGTCGGGACCATTTGGTGCAAAAAATGTGCACAATCATCAACTCTCGGCCCTAACGTCTCTTCACCATGGTGGAAACCTCTAAATGCTAGATTGCATGGGATGGTTGTGATCACTAGCTTGTCTGAAGGTATTAGACACGGGTTCAAATGAGTGGCAATCGTCTTGGACATGGGGAAAAGGCTTTTTGGGTGGTGGCAACCACAACACAAGGCCCTACATCTTCACCTTAAAACCGAAGGTTCTATGGCTTCGACTTAGAACCTTTCCTACAAACAATAGCCATTAGCATCGGCCAAAAACCTTACTTCTCCCTTCCAAACAATCACCCATCATGAACCACGTTCAAGCACACTTCCTCGGCCTACTCTTGCTATCACATTTCAGGCATAGTAGTGAAGGAGTTGAACAACAATGTGGGTGTTTCAATGGCTTGAGTGCCAAGAAACCCCTCCTAGAGCATACACTTTGATTTTTGTGGCACCCTCTACTTTATATACCCCGCTTTATTACCTCTTTTTCGATTCTTTTTCTTTCATTTTATCTTTTCTTTTCTTTTGAGGGGGGGGGGGGGTACTAGAGAGTAAAACACTTGCCACATTATATTTAACAACCAATCTCTCTTTTAAGAACTTACTCCAACACTACTCTTCTCTCTTTCATTCCTAGCAAGAACCGCACCAAATCCTCCTATGTAGAACCTCAATGGAGCTCCTCAGCACGAGCTCTGGGACACAAGGGCGACTCACGTATAGACACAAAAAAAGGATGGGGGTCGTTCTATCAAACACCATTAAGCTCACCAGCAAAAAGATCCTACAGGAGAACGACCCCCAAAGTCACAAGGCTCAAAGAGGTTGACTAGGGGATAGAATATTTCAGGAAAATCAACATTTGGGCCTGGACCAATCCTATGCCTCCATCATAAACACAATGCATGGCAATTGTAATCAACAAGTAATCGAGTCAAGACATCCATTCATTTTTTCACACATGAGAACTAAACCTTTGCACTATCCTAATGCACCTCTCAGTCATCATCATAGGACACACTCGATCACATTCAACAATTCGAGGTTAATGCCAATAAACACGAGATTCTCCCACAAACAGGCCACTTTGATCATGCAAACATTGCTTGAAGCCGTCAAAATTTTCAAATTTGGGCATACATCAGGGCTCCAATCATTCAATCACACTCACACAAGCATAATAATAAACTACCCCCCACACTTAAGCTCGACATTGCCCTCAATGGCATAAGATAGGGGTAGAACGATGTTACCGCATGGCTTGGTGAGTGAAAGTTTGAATTTTTTTATATAGGGTAGGAGATTGGAGCTTCAAGGAGAAGACAAAAACCAACACAAACACATACTCGCTCGAGGAGAGGTTATTACACATAACAATATGATATTATTACATGAGAAACTTACTAACCTCCGTTGAGTTGCCTCCCAACAAGTGCTAATTTAACGTCTTAAGCTAGACAGAGATTTTGGACTAGGCATCTTGCAGTAACACCACCTCCTTATGGGGCATTACCTCTCCTCCAAGGTAGTGTTTGAGGCGATGTCCATTCACTTTGAAAGTTCCTTACTCTGGGTGG